AAGAATAAACCAGCGTGAAGTAGGCAGCAAGCAGAGCTTGGCTGTACTTGTTACTTTCTCTTTTACTAGAAAAAATTATCCAATCCTAATAATCGTGCACTTTATATAGGAATTTTCATGTTGTTGTGCCCGCCGCATGTGTTGAGATTGCCTTGACTAACTCCCTGGAACTGAGCCCTTCTTGAGAAGCCGCCCGTTGTGTAGCTATTCAGGAACTTTCCGGCATTTTATAGAACCCAAAAGTTCATTGCCATATTCGAAAGAGCCCTCCACTGGTCCCTATCTTGAACCAGATCAATTTAGTCCATACCATCCCATTCTATTTCTCTAAGATCCATTTTAATATTATCCACCCACCTACGTCTAGGTCTTTCTAGTGATTTTCTTAGGAAGGTAAGAACTTGTCTGTATGGCTAAAGAACTTAACCGTGGTGGTGTATGGGGGAATGGAGTAAAGAGTGGCATGTTCTTAACCCTGAAAAGTTCTGTCTCCTTGGATATAACATTTATATTTATTTGATAGCCAGTTGACGTTTCGTATGGACATATTGTCTCTATCTTCAGTGTCAAATAATAAGCATGCTACCTGCTTCACGCTGATTTCTTGCATGGTTTATTCTTCGACCCTGAAGATGGAGGCTACATGTTTCTCCGAAACGTCGATTGACTTTTAGCACGCTACACCGCATTGCATCCCAGAAGAAAGAACTCTTCAGAAACCATCTTTCCTGCAAACCTGCCTACAGAATTCAAGCAATCCCTCAGCATACAAACTTCGACAGTGAAAACAGAAGGTGCTTGTTTCTCCTAAGCTTTGCTAACCACCAACAAGACTAAGCATTGTGACAACCCAAGAGACCACAATTTGAACAATCACCTCCGCAACCCCCCACCCCCAGCCCCAAAACTTATAGTTAATTACCTCGGTTAGTTGAGTAGTTAGAAACTTCACGTCCTATTCACTGGGAGGTTCCTCCCACTTGTCACAAGGGTCTCCCCCCTCTGCTGTGAAAGCCACTCAGTCCGCCGTGCACCCCTCCCCATACTCTTAGACTGCCGCGGACAAATGACTCCCTCGCATAATTCCTAGGCGTCCTGACCTTTACCCCGTGACTGATATCACCTTCTCTGCTTGTTTGATATTTTGTCAACTGCGCATTAAGGTTATGTGGCGTCGAATGACCTCCTCTCGCAATCCTGAAGATGGAGGTAATATGTTCCTCCGAAACGTCGGTTTACGTACGTACTACACTGCGTTATATCCCAGAATATATCAATTTTCAGTAGATGAATGAATTGTGAGTTTATAATCCGAACTCACTGTCGAATTGCTGGCACTCCTGTTTCGTTTTCGGGAGGTCCCGGGTTCGAATTCCAACCCGAGGATCGGATATCTTGGCGTGTTTTTCTTTGTAGTTTTCCTCAGTCCCTGCAGGTAAACGTCGAGTCACTGCCTAAAATTAGGTTATGACTTCTTCCTTCTGCATTGTGTATGATTTTTCTGGAGAGACTGAGAGAAATAACGAATAATCTAAACCAGGACTGCCGGTGTCCTGGCCGAGATTCGAACCAGTCACCTGCAGAATACAAGTGAAAAACGTTACCGCTTCATCCATTTCGCTCGGTGAATACGACTGTTTCGTTTCATGATCATCAGGTTGTGGCCTATTTTAAGGTACTTTCTCAGCATTCAGTCAGGTAGTTCAATACGGAATTCGATCCATGGATGATAGAAATGGGAGCCGGAAGTTTTTGACACATGAGAGAAGTCGGCCGGAAATTACTTACTGATTGACTTGTTTTTCTTTTGTATCCTGAATTCTCCTTGGAAATATGATGTTTATTGTACCTTATTGTGTTTCTCGTGTGCCCAGCACAAGTTGTTACCGGAGATACCAACACCAACTGTGAAACAGGAAATATAAACACATCAAACAACCGTGTACGATCGAATAAAACGAATTTTAAAACGTTTTAATGTGTATATTTAGTTAGGAGTTAACAGTGAGATAATAAATTGTATATTTCTATACAATACAAACATTTTATCCTGCGCTTTACACTCTTCAGATGTATTTACACTCCAAATCACTGTGTTTGTTTCGGAATGGGTAAAGAAGTCTTCAGATACAATAATTTACATTTATTTTCTTGAGATCCACACTTACGAGAAAAACTACATTCCTTAAATAACGGAAGTATTAATAGAGATGTGCGAATTGAGAAATTATTATTATTTTGCACAGAAATGTATATTATAATCTTATGGATTTATATACATGCAGTCTGGTAAGTAATTACAGATGTTTCGGACGAACGTTCTGCCTCCATCTTAACAAGGACCCGCTCAAGGACAAAAAAAAAGGATTGCCTCTCCTTGAAGAAGTCATTAAAGCCTGTTGTCTATAAACCGACCAAATAGGAGAGATCTTGATCCTAAGCAGAAGCTGCGACATGAGATTCTCTTTAATGGCCCCTTAATCCTTTTAATCACGTTGACTGCAATGAGCATCTCATGCTATAAGATTAAAAAGGACTTGGATACCTCCTTCATACGGCACTTAGGCTAAACGTTTCGTGTGATCCTCAGAATAGTAACCATTATATCCTAACAGCGCTAATTACTTGATCCATGTAATGGAGAAGCAGTATGTTCCTTCTTAGGCAGAACTGGATTTGTAAGGGTAATCTCGTCGAACCCGCTTGTAATTCAGATTCTCAATAAAACAACAACACATACGTTAGGAAAATTCTAAGAAATCCCCCCCTACATTCTTTTGTTTGACGGGCTGCATCCGGAAAGCCATGTTTAATTTGTGCTCGCTCTAAAGCTTGGAGGCGGACCCAACAGAAAACACCGTTTCCAACTGTTCGCTTTTGTGCCGTCACGTGATCGTTGCGCGGAGACGTGTTTATCGGCCGATCTCTGACAACGGCTGTCTTTTCTGGCTCCACTATGCCGGGCTTTCAGCTCTTATGTCGCAGTATTTTACAGGCAAATGTTATCATCTCTGGATACGAATCACTGATGACAATGGTGACGGTTGTGATGGTGATAACAGAGAATGGGAGAAAATTCTTCGTTATGGGCACGAATTTACGTTATCTTTGAGAATTGCGAAAATTGAAACGTGTACCGGTAACCATTTTGAGAGCATGTGTCTGTACAATAAAATCATAATGATGTCACGTGAAGTTATGACAAAATAATGTGTTGATAGAAAGCTGTGTACGTTGCTTGCAGGTAGTTCCTCTTCTGTCGATAGGTGGGTCTGCCGACAGTTGTATGTCAGTTGTCATGTTCATTAAGCATACCTTTTAGAAGGGCTTTTGAATATTGGATCTTATAGTAATAGAGTTATAGTTGGATTATGAGTAAGGGTAGCTCCTACTTTTGTAATGTGCCGTTTGATTAGATTGTAGCCTTCCTGGTAGTTAACACTGATACGGAGTGACATCTTTGACGTTTCGAAGACTTCATCGCCCTTATCATCAGCGACCAATATACAGGGTAATTCGTAAGTCCCTCCGGAAATTCCGAATTCGGCAGCGCAACAACCAAGACAGGCACAGCAAGAAGGAACATATCAGTAGGTAGAGAATCTCCCCAAGTTTGTTTACGTAACAGGCGCCATGGCGAACTTGCAGGTTTCACCGCTAGGGGACAGTCGTGACGAAACATGGCGAGGACAGGGGACGAGAAAACGTTCTGTGTATTGGAATTTGCCAAAACTGAATCAATTGTGACGGTACAACGGAGGTATCGAACCAAGTACTACACAGAATCACCTACGGACAAAACAATTCGTGCATTATTCAAGAAATTCCAGCAGAGTGGAAAATTAAACAGACACTACCTAATCGACATACAAACTGTCACAGACATCTATGGATTTCGTTAAATTGTCGTGTACACAACACAGTGCCTCTGTTCCGGTTACGAGATGCTCTTATCCTGTTATGTAATCAGCCTCGACGCATTTCACTTCTACGCAGTGCAGAGCTCAACTGTTTCACGGAATAGATGTAAGATTAGTGGAGGGGTAACAGCCGATATTCAGAGCTCTGTTCACACAATGTCTCTAATGGTATGTGTATGGGAGTTCCTCCTGAAGTCGTCCAGTTCTCTACAAAGGAAATCACCTGTGTCTTGTGGATTCAGAGTAAAATTGTGTAGTATAAAAATTCACAAAAGCCGTATTACTATAGCACAGACTTTTCACTTCTCACTGGATGTTATAGTCCAATTGTTATAACTCCTCCAGCATGTTGGGAGGTCCTGGATACTGATTGTTCTAATCGAGGGTGTGACCCCGTCGAGGCAGATAGCGCCATGATACCTGAAATCAGGACAATACTTCTCTTCACACCGTTCCCAATTTTTTATTCACTATTCATCTTATTCGTTGTTACATTTCCCGAGGTTCTGAAAAGTCATTATTATTATTATTATTATTATTATTATT